TATTGGGCTTACATCAGTGGTCTTTTGGGTTGCATCAATTGCCCCCTCCTTGAAACTGAGCTCGTCCTCGAGCTCTGGTTCATGGTTGTCTTTGTAGCAGAAATCAGGCAAAGGAGTTGGGTGAGGGTCCCCATATGCTTGTCGGAGTCGATACACGTGAAAAACTGGGTGAATGCGAGACTCTGGTGGGAGTTCTAAGCAGTATGCAACCGATCCAATTTGCTCGAGGACTTTGAATGGCCCGTAAAATCGTTTACTTAACTTCCTGGAGTTCCGGTTGTGAACTGAATGTTGTCTGTAGTCCTGGAGACGTAAATAGACCATATCGCCAATTGCAAACTGCTTATCAGTTCTATGGGTGTTTGCGAGGGTAGCCATGCGTTGTTGTGCTTTTCGAAGGTTATCTTTGAGAAGGAATCGAATCCTGTTGTGTTCCATCAAGGTGGTATCCACAATGGCGTTGTTTGAATTGCCTGGTATATAGAGATTGAGGTCTGGAATCTCTCGACCATACAAAGCTTGAAACGGTGTCATTTGGATGGCGGAATGGTAGGATGTGTTGTACCAGTATTCAGCTAGGTACAAGAATCGGTGCCAGGTTTGTGGTTCTTCATTTGCAAAGGCTCGGAGGTAGCTTTGGAGGCAGCGGTTAACAACTTCGGTTTGCCCATTGGATTGTGGGTAGTACGCCGTTGAGTAATTGAGCCGGGTTCCCAATTGTTTGAAGATCTCTCGCCAAAACCCACTTAAAAAAATGGGATCCAGATCAGATATGATGCTTTGTAAATGGATTGTAAAAAGATGGTTACAAGTGAGTGGGCAGTGAACTTGGTGGGTAAACCAATAAAGTGTGCGAATTTTGAGAAGCGGTCTACGATTACCCAGATTACTGTTTTACCTACAGATGGAGGAAGGTGAGTTATAAAGTCCATAGAGATGTCACACCAGACCTGGGATGGTATAGGGATTGGTTGGAGTAATCCATATGGTTTGTGAGAAGGGTATTTTGTTTCCTGACAGGTCTTGCACTCGCGAATGAAAGAGCGAACATTTTCTTTTAATTTTGGCCAACAAAATGTTGATGCGATTCGTCGAGTGGTAGCAAGGATACCCGAGTGACCACCTAAGATTGTTGAGTGGTATTCCTCCAGTAATGTGCGTCGAATAGTTGGTTGTTCAGGAACAAACAAACGGTTGTTTAGGTAGAGCAGCCCATTACGGAGTTGGAAGTTACTGTCTCTTGATTTGAGAAGCTTGGTGGTGAGTTGGTTTCCTTCGGCTGATGTGTAATAGTCTCGAAGATCCTTCCACCAAGTTGGCTCGGTAGCAGATAAGGCGAGGAGTTGAACATCATCGATTCGACTCAATGCATCCGCAACTGCATTGTCTTTCCCTGGTTTGTAAAAGATTTCAAAGTCAAATCCAATCAGTTTGGTTGCCCATTGGTACTGTTCGGGCGTTTGGACCACCTGGGTGAGTAAGTGTTTTAAGCTTTTTTGGTCTGTAAAAATCCGAAATCGTCTCCCGAGTAGGTATTGTCGCCATTTTTTTACCGCTTTTGTGATGGCAAAGAGTTCGCGAACATATGTCGATGATGCCTGCATGCGCGGGCACATTCTCTTACTATAGAAGGAGATGGGTCCATCGTTCTGTGATAAGACTGCTTCAATGGCTACACTGGACGCATCGATTGTGATGTCGAATGGATCATCAAAGTTTGGGAGGGTAAGAGTTGTAAGGGAGATCATGGCTGCCTTGAGGTTGAGAAAGGCTTGGTCGGCTGCTTGTGACTAGTTGAATGCCTTTAGTTTCAGTAAGTCCGTGAGTGGAGCGGCTATTTGAGCATAATGTTTGACGAATCGGCGGTAATAGCTGGTCAAACCAAGAAATCCTCGCAAGGCGGTGAAGGAAGTCGGGGTCGGCCATGTTTGTATCGATGTAATCTTTGTCGGGTCAGCAGTTACTCCTGTGGCAGAGATAATGTGGCCCAAGTAATCGATTTTGGTGACTCCAAACTGACATTTAGTGTATTTCGCATGAAAATCGTGTTGTGCCAGTGATTGAAGAACGGTCTGTAGGTGATGGTAGTGTTGTTCGAGGGATGTGCTATAGATGAGGATGTCATCAAAAAAAACCAAGACATATTGTCTAAGGACGTGGCAAAATAGGTCATTCATTGTTGCTTGAAACGTGGATGGTGCGTTTGAAAGGCCAAAAGGCATGACGAGAAATTCGTAATGCCCGTCCACAGTACGAAAAGTTGTCTTGTGAGTGTCACCGGTTGCCACTCGAATCTGATGATATCCTGCTTGTAGGTCAATTTTTGAGAAGACGGTTGCACCATAGAGTTCATCTAGTAGCTCATCAACCGTTGGAATTGGGTATCGGTCTTTGATGGTGATGGTGTTTAGGGCTCTGTAATCCACACAAAAACGCCATGTACCGTCTTTCTTTTTGACAAGAAGAACGGGTGATGAGTAAGGGCTTTGGCTGGGTTTGATTATACCGTCTTCAAGCATTTCTGTGATCATCTTTGTCATGACTTGCTTTTGGTAGTGGGGGTACAGGTAAGGTTTAACATTGACCGGTGTAGCTATGGGAATGGTGGGTATGTGGTGATCTTGGGAGCGTGATGGTGGTAAGTGTTTAGGAATATCGAAAACGGAACCATATTGCTGGAGGATTTGTTGAATGGTTGGGTTGGGGTGTAGGAGAATCGTATCTTTGGTTTGAGTGTGTTCTATTTGGAAGTACATGGCATGGAAGGACGCAATGCTATCTGTATGGATTAGGGTTTTAAGTTGTGGGTTGGATAGGGCTGTGGTGTAGGTTTCGCCTCTCAAAGTAATAGCCTTAGGCCCAACATTGAAGGTAATTTGTGGAATAGCAAAATCTGCTAAGATCGGGCCCGAAGTACGTAACCAGGCCAAACCTAAGATGAGGTCGGAACCCTCAGCTGGCAAGACAAAAAATGGTATGGTGAATGGCGTCTCTTCCAGATGGACGAGGAGGTCTGGGCAGAGTCCATTACATTTGAGATTATCTCCATTGCCAACCATCACAAAGAACTCAGGGATTGGGTTTAGGGTAAGTTTGAAAAACGAAACAACCCTGGGTTGTATGATATTGTGTGTACTACCATAATCAATTAAAATAGTAACTGGGTGTTTGCGAATGTACCCGGTTATTCGGAATGCCTGCGGTGATGTCAGACCAAAGAAGGCAGCTGTGGAGAGGGAGAAGAATTGTGACTCTGAAGGCTGGTCAATGTTGATATCCCCTGTTGTATCGTCATCTTGTTCTTCATTGTCAATCACCATGAGAAATTGTGGTGGGTTACACTTGTGGCCTGGTATGTATTTTTCTAGGCATTTGAAGCACAATCCTTCAGCCCGTCGCTTCTGGATTGCTTCAGGGGAGAGGCGAGTAATTGGTAAGGTGGTTTTTGGTGGTGGTGGAAGTGGTAGTAGACCAGCAGTCGGTAGACGAGGACTGATGTTGCTGGTAGAGAGTGTTGGTAGTGTGGTGGTTAGGCTTCCAGAGACCATCGTGGTATATGGACGGGAGTAGGGAAGTCTACTTTTTGCCATTTGTAGTTTGTCTTCCACAAGTTTTGCCAGACCATAAGCTTGGTTAAGAGAATTGGGGTGATGGAGGGCGAGCTCGGTGTGAATATCAGCACGAAGGCCCGAGAGAAAACAGTTAATGAGTGATTCAGGGTCGAGTTTGTTGACATAATTACTGAGACGTTCAAACTCAGCTTGGTAGGCGGCGACTGAAGTCGTTTGACGGAGCTTAAAGAGTGCCGCCTGGTGGTTTTCGTATGTTGATGGTCCGAAGCAGAGGTCTAGCGCACGTGAGAATGCATCCCAAGTGCTCAGTAGGTCATTAGTGGCTTGGTGTTTGTACCAACATAGAGCGTCGCCTGTGAAGTAAAAAACGGATAAGGATAGGCGTTGATCTGGTGGAATGTCATAGTAATGAAAATAATTATTCGCCTGGAACAACCAATCCAACGGGTTACTACTATCGAAATTTGGAAGGGATATTTTAGGTGGGCGGGGTTGGTGCAAGGGTTTTTGTTCTAGTTTAGGGGGTGGAGGGATGTTGCTGGTTTGTCAGTGGGTTTTTTTAGAGTGGCGATGAGGTTGTTGGTTTGTTCATATTGGGCTGTCAATTGTTTCATAATGATGTCAAGTTGGGCATGGGTGTTAGATTGGCTGGTGGAGGAGGAGGTGACCAATTTGGAGATACTGTCAGCCAAAGTGGCCAAAGATGCTTCTAATGTCGAGCTTTTTTCGGTGGTGGCAGATGAGGAAGAGGAGTCGTGTTTAGGAGGCATGGTGAGGACGATGAAATGAAAGCACTAGAATGATAAGAGTCAATCATGGATGACCAATCCCCAAGAATAAGTAGGAAGGATAAGAGTTTGGAACAATTTTCTGATATATTCTTCACCACTTCCAGTTACAATTTATAGGAATATGAAAACCAACTAAGCTCTAAAATTAAGGAACATGCATGCATAACAAAAAAAAACGTGGTCCTACGAGAAGCACTAGCTTCTTTATTCAGTCAAGAAAAGAGAATAAGTCTCCTCCTAACTTTGTGCAGACTGGTGAGTGATCCATGACTTAGTCTTTCAGCCTAGCTGGCAGCCTCCGGTTCAACCTGGGTCTAGCAAGTGGGTTCTCTTCTATTGGGCTTACATCAGTGGTCTTTTGGGCTACATCAATGTGAGTAAAGAACTGCATGGAGCAAGTCAACTTTTGGAGGTCATACGGTACAAATTGACCAAAGATCGCAAAAAAGTAAAACAAAAAGAGGAAACAATGATACCCAAGTTGCAAAAGGAAAAGGACAAGAATCAAATGTGGGAAGCACTGGCATCAGATGTGAATGGACAAGATCTTGGTCAGTTCAATGTTGAAGGTTTGTGGGATCTAGCACAAAGAATCAATACAGAAAGCGCAAAGAACAACGATAAGTATTTTATAGATATGCCAGACTTGAACTTCTTAATATTCAAAGCCATAGACAAAGCGGGTTTGACTCCTTCTACCTTGTTGAGAACTTCACTGATTTTTGTACTTGAAGATTCCGTAACTAAAAACTCAAGTCAATTTCAGAAGGACCTTGGGTTACTTTACCACAATGGTTATGCTTATGTTCATGGTGGGAGCCCTTCAGTTCCCATAATATCTGTGGTGATTTTTGTTGTGATTGATGATAAGGCTGAGGGCAAGAAGAAGAGGCCAACTGAGAGAATTTGGATGGTATACACTATTTGTATCCACCTTGAGGACAAGGTGGTTCTTTTGGGGTGGGGTATTGTTATGCATCAACTTCGGCCACATATGTTAGATAAGGGCGATATGGGAAAATCATTAAATAAAGATAATCTTATTAGTGCAGGGGCATTTTAGGCATTTTATATTAGTTAATTTGTTATGACGGATAGTATAAGAAGAGGGTAGTGGGCAGGGAGTGAGGTATCTATCTGTTGTGTGAAATTTGGAATTTATTCCTTGGGAGATTGGTTATCTCGAATCAGCTAAACTATCATTGTTCTTGTAATCTTTTGGGTATATTTGAGGTTATCAATCAATATTTGAAGCTGTTGTTACTTTTTGTGTTATTGAATCTGTTGTTATAACTCAGTTCATAACACAAACATTTTAAACCTCAATTTAAAATTCAGCATCCGACAAAAGTGTCTAATCTTCACAATCATATATATCAGATGTTTTATAATTTCTTATGAATCATTTGTTTTTTATAGGGGGCTTGTGTTGTGATGTCTATTTCGTAAAATCCATCTCTTATCCAATATAAGCGTTACAGTGAAGGGTAATATGAAATCGATTTTTTTTCCAGTTTTTGGTTTTTTTTTAGCATTTGCATTTTGGCTCCAAGGAAATTCGATAGTCTGATTATTTTCTTTGCTTTAATTTGTTACGCACATACGACAATGCACTTCATGGGTTCAGATCTTTGTGGTTGCTAATATAGTTGTTTTTTGTAGGTGATGTATCCTTTTTTGTGTCTGAATCATGCAAAAGCCAAAGGTCCTTTGGTTGTCTTTCTATAATTTCTTGATTTACTGCAGTGATGTTGATTAATCTCAAACATTCAGTCTTCAGATTTCTCCCTCATCTTGAGTAAGTTATATTTTTATCTATATCTGGTGGGTTTTAATAAGTAGTCAAATACATATGAATATGATTTTTGGAAATTTGTTGGCTACAGGAGACAAACTAGAGTAGTTAACTAAATCATATCAAGAAAGATATTAGTGTATGCATGTTTAATAAATTAAATAATGGTTTCATTCATCCAGGATGCATCAACTTGAGCCAATGATGGAATGGTTTAGCTTAAAATTTTCATCCAATATGTCGCCATATAGCCACGGACTATAGGTTTATTTGTACTAAACTATTGTTAAAATTAAAGCATTCATGTATTCCCTTGATCAAATGTGGACAAATCAACAGTTTACTCCCCATCTAAATGCATCTTCCATTTCATTCCTTTGACTTAATGAAAAAATCTAATTATTTGCTTAAGTTATAAGTTTTTCCAGTTTTTCCAGGAAGGAGGGACGTTGAACGTGATGAAAGCATCTGCAAGGTATTTTTAAACACTAAAGTTTTGGGCTTATGTGCTTTCAAAAATTATCATCTAAACCGAATGAGTTGCGTGTTCTTTTAAAGCAATTAAATTGTGGCCAATATTACTCACTAAATGGTTCGTTTATGCTTTCTAGCTATGTATACATATTTCTTTTGTTAATCAATTATGCATATAATCTAATTGTTATATGTTAACAGGATAACTTTGATTTCTTTTCCTATATATTTAGCATTTAGGACGTATCAGCCACATTTTTGTAATTAAGTAAAAATGATGTGTTTGCTTTTTTATTATGATATTACAATAACCTAAGTAAAACAAAAATAATGTTTTAATAAAACGAGATGGTAATTTGAAGTATTTTTTTGAAATCAAAGGAGTTAAAAACGAGCTTACAATAACATGCTTTTATTTTTACACCAAACAAAAACATACTCAAATTTTAAAATAAAAACAAAAGGTACTTTTATTTTGAAATCGAAATAACGAAATATTTATATTTTTAAAGCAAAATGAAAAAAACTTTTATTATTAAACCAAAACATAAATTTAATTAATTTTAATGAAAAAAACCCACAGAAATGAACTAATCGGCACCCTAGAACTATTCATCAAAAATATATTATGTGTTTTGATTGATGTAATATTCTCATCTTTGGAAATTAATACCGAATCAAATTATGTTATTTCGCGCGTAATATTATCCACAAGAAATGATAGTGTCAATGATATTAGTGACTATTTGATTGGCCGATACCATGGAGAAGAAAGAAATTACTATAATTTTGATGAAGCCGTAGATGATATAAATAATTTTCATCCTGCGAAATTCTTGAACACGTTCAGTGTGTCAATGGTTTACCCCCTCATTACCTACAACTGAAACTTGGATGCCCAATAATATTGTTAAGGAATCTCGACCCATCAATGAATTGTGTAACGGTACTCGATTGAAATGTAAAAGTAGTTTCTATCACAATGTTATTGCTGTCGAAATAGATGTTGGTCAACATGCTGGAAAGAAGGTATTTTTGCTAAGGATTCTTTATCTCCGTCTGAATATGACATGTTCCCATTCAAGCTGAAGATAATAAAAAAATCACAATTAATTACATTTCGCGATAACAATCATGGACAATCATTTCTAAATGTAGTAATTTATTTTCCAATATTGGTTTTCTCGCATTGTCAATTTTATGTGGCATTATCCAGAAGGATATCACATGTCAATACAAAAGTATCAGTGATATCTGACAAACAATTCAATTGCAGTGAAGTCTATACATCAAATATGATGTATAAGGAAGTGTTGCACGATTAATAATGCACAATAAATCATGTGTTCATGTACATTTGTAAATAATCCCTACTTTTCATTTTTAATTCTGAAGGATTTCATTTATACTAGCATGACTCTAATTATGATTGTTTAGATGTTGTAAAGTATTTGCAAAATAACTAATCTCCTCTAAAAACTAACTTCTAAAAAAACTATTAAAACGTATCGTTTGATGCGGGTAAACGGGTAATATATATATATATATATATATATATATATATATATATATATATATATATATATATATATATATATATATATATATATATATAAGTTCACCTGAAAATACAAATAACTTGTGAAAATGAAAACAATCAATCAGAATAAATCATCTATAATTATTTACTGATAATAATTTTTATATATATATATATATATATATATATATATATATATATATATATATATATATATTCGATTTCTCATTTTTTAAATTCTAATATCGCATTTTTTTGAGAAATTATTTTTAAAATAAAGTGGAAGACAGCAACAATCTATATGTTACAGTGAGTTGTGTCATCCTTTTAATGTTGTTTAGGATTGTTTATGTTTCTTTACATTTCTTTATTTGTGAAAATATTGTTTTCTCAGATAGATCTAGGGGTGACAAATTAGGTCATTATACCGTGTTTTTGTCTAACATGACACGACACGACAATGTTTTATATAACACGAACACAACATGACATGATACAGTGTTTTTTTAACTAACACGAAAATGAACCAATTAAAAAACGATAAATAAGACACGGCACGACAAAGATAACATAATATGACAATTAGTTTATTTAATTAATATTTAGTTATACATAACACAAAAAACACAACAAATAAATACTAAATCGTGTCACTTTCGTGTCAAATTGAACACGAACATGACACGACACGACATCGTGTTTTTTACACTTGACACGAACACGACATGAACACGAATTTGAATTTCAGTTTCGTCTCAATTTCGTTACGTATTGTGTATTTTTGTCGTATCATGTCAACAATTATCACCCCTAAATAGATTTAACATTTTTGCAGATACGACAAACATTCGATCTCATTATGCTCCAAGTAAGGGGACTTATTAGTAAAAATGGGTTTTTCGATTGCTGACCACTTGCCTCCTGTGATCGGATATAAGGATATGGGGACAGGGGGAGGGCAGACTTTTTAAACAATATGATAAGTCATTGTAGTACATTATCAACCATTTCTATGTTTTGAGTTTTGAGTTATATTTGAACTTAGATCACTTATATATGGGAATGTTTACCATGTACTCCTGACAACCAACTAGGCCATTAGCTGATGGTTGAGGGGGTTTAGTGGTGAAATATAATATTTTTTTTTATATTATGTACATATAGAATAAGTAGAAATAGATGTCATTTTTTAGAATTTTATAAATGGTTAAATTGTTGGTCGTTTATTACTTAATATACAATATTATTCTTAAAAAAAAAAACAAAAAAAAACAAAAAAAAAAAAAAAAAAAAAAAAAAACAAACATAATTTTCGTATCAAATATAATAAATTGATAAACTTTTTTAGTGTATCACTTTTGTGTACGGATGTAAAAGGACCAATAACGACCAGGTTATTATGATAATTATAGTTTAAAACGATTTTGAATGAGTCAGACCAGTATCTTATATAAACTCTTAATTTAATTAAAATAAAGCATTTTGAATTTGAATATACCTTAACACCAAAAGTTGATTATTAACAAATAATCAAATCCCTTATTATAATAAAAGAATCCTTATTCTTACGTGGCATCTTCTTAAACTAAAGAGATTTCAAAGTAAAATGCCTAATATGCCCTTCAGCTTTTAATACCCAGTCTCTATTTGCTCATCATTTATTCCTCAAATCACGCTCCAATTTTGTGTTCTTCGGTTTGGAAACTAAATACGGATTCAAAGTTAGCTTACAATAGTATGAGAAATTTAATTTCAGTTTTGAAATCATATTCTTCCTACACGATGAAGTTTTTTTTAACCCTAGAAGCAGTTCTTCATTTTTTTCTTGACAAAGATGTGGCTTTTGGAACATAGAATGTTGCCAAAGCTTTGAGGAACACCAAACGAATTTCTAATTTCAAACCCCTCACACCCTCTCAGCCCGAAGGCTTCCAAGATTTCAAACGATTTCATCATTTCATATGCAAGAATACGTAAGATTAATCACACTCTCCCTCTTTCTCTCTTTACTACAAAATCTCAATTTTTGTTATTGCTCTTCCCTCAGTGATATCCACTTTCTCTCTCCATGTTACTCTTTTTGGTTGTGTTTTTCTTCTAAACCCTAATATTTGGGGTTGATTTGAATTAAGTTATGTTTTTTTTTCAATTGTTAATATGCATTCAATGATTTAGGTTTTTTTTCATCCAGATTTACTAAAATGCTAAAGTTGCTTCAGATTCCTTGCAAACGATATTAAATTGTCAACGATCAACTTAATTTCAGTTTTGAAATCATATTCTTCCTACACAATGAAGTTTTTTTTAACCCTAGAAGCAGTTCTTCTTCATTTTTTTCTTGACAAAGATGTGGCTTTTGGAACATAGAATGTTGCCAAAGCTTTGAGGAACACCAAACGAATTTCTAATTTCAAACCCCTCACACCCTCTCAGCCCGAAGGCTTCCATGATTTCAAACGATTTCATCATTTCATATGCAAGAATACGTAAGATTAATCACACTCTCCCTCTTTCTCTCTTTACTACAAAATCTCAATTTTTGTTATTGCTCTTCCCTCAGTGATATCCACTTTCTCTCTCCATGTTACTCTTTTTGGTTGTGTTTTTCTTCTAAACCCTAATATTTGGGGTTGATTTGAATTAAGTTATGTTTTTTTTCAATTGTTAATATGCATTCAATGATATAGGTTTTTTTTCATCCAGATTTACTAAAATGCTAAAGTTGTTTCAGATTCCTTGCAAACGATATTAAATTGTCAACGATCAACTTCTCAAGTTTTGTATTAAAATTGGATGCTCCATGTTGAAACCAAGTGCTGATTTGAATTGTATTTTCCAATTTATTTCAGTTAGCACACATCAAATCTCACTTATAGGCAAACATTCTTACCCTAACTCCTTTTTTTCTAACTATCAAAAATGGATTTTTATTTTTAATGTATGTAGTATTTGTATTTAATACTTCAGAATTGATTGTCATTTTCAGGAATTATGTTTGTCAATTTGTTCCAAGTAAAATGCAAAGTAATGTAATTAACACTTGAGCTTGTACGTTAGCTAAAGACGACATAAGAGTACTATTTTTCTTTATACTTAGATTTATATCTTGAATCTAATAAACATCTTGATTACAATTTTTTATAAATTAATTCTTATTTTAATTCTTCATATTTCAAGCTTTTTTATATAAAACTGGTAAAGTAATCATTCCTGTCGATTATAGCAATGTACTTTAAAAGTACACTACTATTTTATGCTAAAATCAAGAGAAAATGACCACATGAAATGAAACTATACTTTGCTAAGATCTTACTTGTTGTAATTAATCAAACAAAAGATCAAGATGGAATACAAAAAATTATAGGATTCAACAAACTAACTTAATATTACTAATAATCAAAAGATTGCATAAAAAGATGGAAATTCTGGAAGTTCGGGATGCCAGGGGTCTCCTAAAGAAAATAAACTACAACTTAACTGAATGATCCCCTCACAACTGCTCCTGACTATATTAAAAACATAACTAAAAAAATAAATTACTTAATTGCCCCTGCTTCTTACAAATTTGTAACGCCTGTGTGTTTCCAGGCTTGCTATTTTTAGCAATGTAATGGTCTAGGTTAACCTTTGTAACCCGTTTTGAAATAATATAAGTGTATTATTTGAGTATTATGTGTTTTGTGCTTAATTGCTTAGTTATGTGGTTTGATTAATTAAGAATAAAAATAAGCGTCAAAATTTAAGTGTAATATAAACTTGATATCTTTAGATAATGTTGTAGTAGTTGAAACAAGGTTTCCGTAGATATAAAGAATGCCGAAATCCGAGTTATAACGAGGAAGTTATGACCTGTCGAAGTTTCGCGACAGAACCGGCAACGCTGATTAACGTAAAAACTGAAATTTACGTTAGAGCGATATTTAGCTTTAGTGATCTAAACGAGAATCGAAGATCTCGTTGTTAGTATCAAAGCGATAAAAAGTTAGGCGACAACGGACGTCAAACGAAGAAGTTATGAATTTATAACGAAATTTTCTGTCCCGGCCTATTAAAAATAAATAATAAAAATAAATTCAAAATTAGCCGACGGAGTCTAAACGAAAGTTGTAGAGCGTAGTCTCACATTTCCGTGGATATAAAGAACGTTGAAAACGGAGTTCGTATGAAGAAGATATGAATTTCCGAAGTTTGATAAATAATTTGTATTTATTTTTAAATCAAAATTCGGAAGCCTTATCCGAAGGCGAGTCATCGATCCGATCCGACTTACGCGCCGCGTAAGTGAGTACGCCCCGCGTACTCCGAAAGTGTCAACATCGCAGCAAGTGGCTTCGGATACGTACGCGATGACGTTTCTGAGGCACGTACTCCCCGCGTACGCACGTACGCCCCGCGTACGAGAGGCTTCCAGCCTCCTATAAATAGGATGCGAGGGGTCCGGGTTTATTTGCTAATTTCCTCTCTTTTTTGTGCCGAAGCTCTGCGGTTTTACCCCCGAAGCCATCCCGAAGCCCCGGTAATATTCCCGAGTCCCGAAGCGAGTCCCGAGATCCCAAAGATCCCGAGAAGTGCGGTTTCCGAGCCGAAGCTCTGCCCGCGAGAAGTTCGATTTTCGTAGAGATCTTCCAGATCTGCGGAGGATTATTACTTTTGCGAGTCGTAGTGCTGTCCGATCATCTTCTGATCAAGTGAGTGTATACTACCTTTCATGAACGCAATAATAATACAAGTATGGTTCGAGGGTATTAAGTTTATTGTCGTTTATACGTGTGAATGCGTTGTTACTTTCTCATAACGTATAACTATGAAGTATTTTATACGAGATACGTGTTATGTGTATATTTTGTTGTTATGTGTGTGAATGTATATTCATTTTCTTCTATCTTACAGATCTGATTATTTCTATATGAAATACGTGTTATGTGTGTGTGCCTCATCTGTTATATGGAAAATGTATTGATCAAGCATGCTATACAGGTTTTGAAAATATGTATAAAAATGTATGTTTTTATCTACTAATATGTTGGGTAGATCATGGGTAGATAGTTGGTGTGTAATAAACAGATGAGAGGCCTCGTTGTTGTTTTGATCCAGTCATCTAGTGGAATTTAGATGACGACCACGGACTTTTCTAGACAGTCCAGTGGAACGCTAGCAGGCTCATAACCTGTAGGTGTTAATGAACTTGGGTGTTCATTCGTTGTATTCCATCCCCCTCATTGTTGCCTTATTTGACTTATATTGCTGAGGAACCCCCGCAGCATGTGTTGTCACCCCGATGAAAATATTCTTAGATTAGGTCCCTTGTGTTAGTTATTTTAGGGACGTAAAGTGAGAATAACGGGAATGGGTAACTGGATTACTGTTGGTTGATAATAATTAATTTAATTATTTGTTGTGGGTTGAAAACCCTATATGCTCACCAGGCTCCCAAGCCTGACCCACTCAGTTTTATTTGTATTACAGGAAGTGGCGCAAGGGCGTAAGATGGATGAACCATCAAGTTGTTTTGTTTACAAGTCTGCATATGTTTATATTTGTTATATGACTTGTAATGTATTCGTTTATGCTTATTGGTCTGTATCGGAACATGACACCCCGAGTTTTGATTATAATGAAAATACATTTCTTTTATGAAATGCTTCGGTAAACATTGTTTTATCATATTTTGTTTTTGGGAACAAATTCCGCAACTCTTTCAAATCAAAAGGATTTACTCTGAAAATATTTAAAAAGCATAAATGAAAATCGGTCTTTTCTGGCCGAGATTTTGGGGATGTCACAAAATTGCTTATTCACATTTACTTTCCTTTATTGCCCTTTCTTGAATAAGTGAGTAATGGCTTATTTCCTTTCTTGCCCTTTCTTGAGTAAGTAAACATGATTGGTGGTTTAGCAATACTCCCTCCCCAAACAGCCACCTTGTCCTCAAGGTGAAATGACAGAAATAGATGATTTATTGTAGTCAGGTCCTCCCAAGTTGCTTCTGTGGGTGGTAATTTCTTTTCTACCATTTAATTAACAATTCTTTTAAGAAAAAGTCCCTTTTTTCAGCAATGCACTTTCATGGGTTTGTCCTTTTTTCTTTGATTTC